ATTAATAGATATGGATAGAATATAGAGGGATATTTACGAAACTAATGATATGAAACAGTGCTTCATATCATTACTATATATGTCTTATCATATTTTTAAACATCACGAAATGTACTTACATTATTAATTTTATGCGCGCACGCGCGCGCGCGCGTGTGTGTGTGTGTGTGTGTGTGTGTGTGTGTGTGTGGTGTGAGAGAGAGGTCATATACACACATGCGCATATATATAAAGTTTTTTGAAAGATTAAGATTCCGGCGATCTTAATTTCTTTATAAAATTCAATTCTTATTTTTTATAAAAGATATAGCTTAATTTATGATTCAGACAAGATTTCAATTTTTTTATAATCGAAAATTATATTCAATATACATATGTTACAATATGTACATCGCGGCTTTGTCAAATTAATAAAATAATGGAAACTCATTTAATTGTTTTTTTGAACGCATAAAGTGAAAACTTGCTATCGTATCATTTTTTTTTTCAGTATTCAACCTAAAATATAATATGAGAAATGTATTGTTCAAAGTATATAAAGCATATATAATTAAAACAATAATTAAGACTGATTAAGTTTGCAACTTCGTATACACAATTTAGTTTTAAAAATAGTTGCATTTACATAACAGTGATACAAATATTTTATTCATTGATAATTTTAAAAGAAAAAGATTTATGTAAGAAAGAAGGCAAGAAAGAAAGCAAGTATTATAATAAAGTTTATTTTCTAAAAATATCTATATTTTGAAAAAAATTGCATAACTTGTATTTATCATGCAATATATAATAAAACTTCTGGCATTTGCAAGTTACAGCGTAACCAATGACATTACATTATATTAAACAGAACTTTTCATGACACAATTCTCCATTCCTCATTTTGTATAATTCGCATTTATGTAGTGGAAGAGAAATACTAAGAAAAATAACGCAACTCCTAGGATGTTGCAGAATATAGCTAATTGTACGTCCGTGATCATCTGGAAAGCAAATAATCCATTCTGAATTATAAATTTACGCTTCAAGTTAGGTTATATTGCATAACCTATACTAAATATGTTGTGTTGTAACAAATTGAACTTTCACAAAACAGTATAATTTTGTATAAAATCAGTTTGTATACGTGCCAAACACAATTACCTTGAAGCTGTCGAGTTACTGCTTTCTGCTATTTTTGTAAGATTTTCAGTAAAGAAATGTATATGCAAAGTAACGATAACGTCTAGTCTAGCGGCGTGCGCGCTCTCTCTCTTTCCTCCCCCTCCAACTTTATTATATATACACACACGTATATTATCCATCTACATACATGACGGATTGGCTACCAATGAAACATGTACGCGATAATTTCAATTGTGATTGACACATACACTATTGTATACGGTGACTATGTCCTTTATTTTAAAAGACCGGACAATCCAATTCTTTATTTCAAGTAGCTGTCCTTTAGATTTATTTACTTTCTCAAAACTCAATTTTGTTCTTTATTTTATTTAGTCTTTTACTTTTTTTACGGGAAATTCATTTTTAATTAGCATTTCAATGTCTAATGATCATATTAATCAATGACTAAATTTTTTTATGGAAACATATATTTAATTCCATGTAAGGACATCATTAATTATTTATACGTTATACTTCACAGGAAAATTTCGTAGATTCCTGATAGCTACAAACTAATTTGGAAATATATAGGAATAAAGTTCTAAAATTTTAAGATTTATTTATTCCTTTATTTTCTCGAAG